CAAATGTCTATGGTAAGTTTTCCTTTTCCTTCGTAGAAATACGGTCATATGAATACCAGTCTCGAGTAGAGAATATTGCATTGGGGTTTTGGGTTCAATATCCACAAGTAGGACTGCAGATTTCCACAGAACGCCGGCGACTTTGTGTAACTTTGTGCATGTCACCCACCGCCGGCTAAAATTAAAAAAAAAAGCACTCATAATTTACTAGCTCCTGACGTGATAGAATCTCGTATGTATAAAGATTCAGGCTTGTTGCCGTTTAGAAAATAAAGTAAACAGAATTGTGTTCATCCGTAACTATTGTCGACTTTGTAATGTAGGTGCGGGGCCGGCCGGGGAGGGGGCGTTTGTTTACGTCTAACTGTTATATAAACATGGATATAACATTACATTTTGTCGTTTTGTCAGACAGTTTCAATCTTTTTCGGGATAACACAGTACAGTTCATGGGATAAGCATCAAATCGGGATTTATCGGGATATCCCACGGGATTTTTCGGGAACCATGTTGACTAAGATTTTTACAGACAGACGCTGCAGCGCATAATGTTTAGAACGATAACAAAATAATACAACCTTCTTGGTACGAGAATTTCTGTCTGACCTTGCGATGTGGACGGCCCGCTAAGTACTGCTTTTGATGTCACCCGACCCGCGCTATCTCAGATATAAAATCTAACACATCCACGTGCCATGTCGCCACTCGAGTTCATTTTTCTCCTAGATATATAGGGGAGGTCGACGCACGGAGCTGCGGAAGGGAGATTAAACATTCTACATAAGAGGGGGGCGAAGCATAATTCAAAAGTTCTTTACGCTTTGTTTGCGACGATCAAGAATTGATACATTTCTATGACTGGGCCACGTTGCCATAGAAACGGCACGCAGGATAGCTAGCAGACCGCGGGGCGCCAATCATAGCGCACAGACGGGGACCCGCCCACTGGCTGGGCGGTAAGATTTCAAACTCAAAGGCTCGATGCTCCGCCCCAGAGACTCCGACCGCCTGGCGACTGTAGCGATTTTACGCCTCAGCCCTGCACGCGTCATCCCGATTTCATTCCAAAACAACGTTTTTCACAAGTGACATCGAGAACTAGAATGCTTTTCTCCCCGGAAGAATGTTTGCCAGCCGCGTGGAAGTACTTACTTTCAGGGCCTAGGGTAATACGTACATGAATGGACGTGGTCGGATCGTTGTTGACGCAAGGCTTTATTTATGTGTACGTGTTTGGGGAGGGGTGAGACGCATGCCCCGGGATGTTTATTGGTTAATTTTCGTAATACAGAGACTTGACGCAGTCTGCTCATGAGAAGACCTCAACAAGTCCAAGATGCCACAATGAAACACAACTACTACTGCAGCTGGTACGGCCTATTTTATTTGGTTAATAAACTTGCCGGAAAAATCACCGGAGACGAAGGGATTATTACATTGTTACAAATTCATTCCTGCTATTTTCTTAGTTTTTCGCTGGACAATAGCTTTGTAAAAAAAATCAAGGACCTTGAAAAAATGGAGCAGGTCAACTATAACCGCGTGAGGAACGCGTTATACACAATATTTCCGTACACTCCTGTGCTTCACCAATCAATCAATCAAGCCACAAGCATCACAGTAGATGCATGGCGGCTGTAGCCATGTCCCTCCAGGATGTTCTGTTCACCACCGGTGAATAAAAATTATAGCAAAGTTGACTGACGTCAGGGTGCTCCATCGGCCCTGCCCAGATCGCCCGACAGGACGTAACAATAAACATTTGGCACGCCGCCATCGGTGATAGGACGCGGTAGACTTGGGGGTATCGCACAAGTTTTTTTTTTCGCTCCGCGGTACGCAGGACACCCGGATATCTCGCGGGATTTATCGGGACGCCTATCCCGAAAAATTCCGTATCCCGATGATGCATATCCCATGAAGTTATCTCTCTAAACAAAATAAGGATAATTGCCTTTATGAGTTCGACAGATGAAATATTGTTTGGGCTTCAATGTATATGAAGAAATATGTGAACGCCTGGTTTCACTAAATTTATTACGTGAGTCTTCATTATTTTATTTTCAATTTGTGCCCGCCGTATTTATCGATTTATCTAAGGCCTTCGACACTATTAATCATGGTATTCTTTTGGAAAAATTAAAAGCCTATGGAGTTGTTGGCCAGGCAGCAGAGTGGTTTGAGTCATACCTCTCTGGAAGGTCCCATTGTACCTCTGTTAATGGGCACACATCTGACTTTTGCTCAGTAAACCATGGAGTTCCACAGGGCTCAATCCTGGGGCCATTATTGTTTATTATTTATGTGAATGACATGCCCAGTTGTGTTCTGACATGCCGGATTGCACTTTATGCAGATGACACAGTAGTCTATGTCAGTTACCCTGACCTTGAAAGTACTCAACAAGCATTGCAATCTGACATGGACAGACTCTCTAACTGGTTTGTAGCCAACAGTTTGTCAATTAACGCAAAGAAGTGCAAAGCAATGCTTTTTGGGACAAATAGGCGTTTGTTAAGAACACATCAGCTTCAAGTGCACATAGATGGGGTAGGGTTGGATGTAGTCCCAGCTTACAAGTATCTTGGTGTCACTGTTGATAAAGAACTTAAATGGGACACACATGTCAGTACTGTTTTGACCAAACTAAAACGTGCACTTGGCATGATGAGGCAGGTTCGACCATTTGTATCGAAGACCGCTCTAGTAACCTTGTATAACACTATCTTTCTTCCCCATTTAACTTACAACTGTACACTGTGGGATGGTGCTAGTATATTTCAAATTAATAGGTTACAGAGGATGCAGAACAAAGTAGGGAAGCTGATTCTGGGTCTTCAACCGAGAACTTCATCAGCTGAAGTACACCTGCTTTTGGGATGGCGGGACGTTGCAACCACCCACAAGACACACAAACTCTTGGCAGTGTACAAATCACTGAATGGCATGATGCCAAGTCACATGAAGGAACTTTTTGCAACTTGTCGGGACAGTTCCACCAGGATCACCAGGCAGGCTACCTCCAATAAACTGCTGGTGCCAAGGGTGTCCAGAGACTGTGTGCGAAGATCTTTTGCTGTGTCCGGGGCTATCCTGTGGAATAGCGCACCTGCTGAAGCTCGTTCGGCTCCATCGCTAAGGACATTTAAGGACAGAATATAGCAGGGTTTGACGGATTTAGAATTGGATGAAGGATTGTGAATTTTGGACAACACTAGCTAGTATATTGTATAGTTGATTTTCGTTTATTTATTGTGTATGAGTTAATTTATTTTCCCGTGATCCCACCCCTCACTCATTACTGGACCTCTGGGAAGAGCGGCATGTACAAGGCCGACAGGGCCATCCAGTTTAAATAAAGGTGAATGAATGAATGAATGAATGAATGAATCTCGCGCTTGTGAATTATTTGTCAGCGGTTATATCATACTTCCAAGACGTCTGAAGTAATGTTAGGTTTTTCATTTTCTCAACCTCAACCACATTTTCGCAATCTCAACTTCACAAATATATATATATTCAGCATTCACAGTTTTCTTATGATGTTATGTACATGAATGTACATGTACAAAGAGATGTATGCTTGCGTTGTAATGCTTTCATTGTAT